TTCACATGTTAATATAAATATAAATCAACACTCTAAATTAATACCAACTTTACCATCTGAGCCACCAGGGAAGTCAAATACCAACTTTAATAGTATATATAAACTTCTCTCCTTTATAACTGTCCCCTCCCCTCTTTACACTATTTTCACAAGTTATATCATTACACATCTTGTGTCCAATAACATAAATTTATAATTATTGTTTTATGCATGTCTTTTATGTCATATAGAAGGAAAAGGGAACTACAAATAAAAATACCTTTCTACTGTCTTTGTATTAACTTACATAGTTACTTTTATTACTCTATTTTTTCATGTGGATTTGACTTACTATTTAGGTTATTTGAGTTATTATTTCATCTTGAAAAATCTCTTTAGTATTTTCTGTGAGTTAGTTTGTTAGCAATGCAGTCTCAATTTTTGTTTATCTGAGTATCTGAGAATGTCTTAATCTCTCCTTTATTTTTGAAGTTTTGCAGGGTACAGAATACTTGGTAGGCAGTTTTTTTCCCTTAGCCTTTGAATATGCCATTGTAATGCCTTCTGGTTTATATGGCTTCTGAGGAGAAATCAGCTATTGGTCTTATTGAAGAGACTTGGTACATAACTCGTGCTAGCTGCTTCAACATTCTTTGTCTTTTGATCGCTTATGATGTATCTAGACATGGATCTCTTTGAGTTTATCATGCTTGGACTTCCTTGAGTTTTTCAGATGCAGTTTAACAGGAGTCCTTAAATTTGCCAGTTTGGGGCCATTATTTCTCCAAATATTTTTTCAGTCTTTTTCCCTCTCTCCATCTCATTATGTGTATAACAGATCGCTTGAGGGTAATCCATAGGACTCTGAGATTCTGTTGACCTCTCTTCATTCTTTTTTTTATTCTGTTTCTCACACTGGATAATCTCAACTGACCTATCTTCACCAAGTCACTGATTCATTCTTCTGCTGGTTCAAATCTGACATTGAGTTTTCTCTAATGAATTTTTTTATCTTAGTTTTTGTACTTTTCAACTCCAGAATTTCTATTTGGTGATTTTTACAATTTCTATCTGTTTTACTGATATTCTCTATTTGGTAAAACACTGTTCTTATACCTTGTTTTAATTCTTTGTTAAATTTTTGTTTATTTATTTGTGGCTATGCTGGGTCCTCCTTGCTGTGTGGGTTTTTCACTAGTTGTGGCGAGCGGGGGATATTTTTTATGCTATTTTTTAAAAGTAACTTTTCTAAACTTATTCTGTAAACTCTACTGAAGTTCCCACTCAACTAGCTTAGTGGTAAGCTAAGATATAGCTATCCTTAAACATCTATAAACAATAAATCTCTCAGTCTTTGCCAAGGGATTATGTGCACAGAGCCTTCAACACTGAGGGTAGGGAGTTAAAAATTCTGCCTTAGCCTTTCCTTCCTTCTTCTCCAGAGCCTTAAGGGCAGGCAATGGTTAAAGGTTTCAGGTCTTTCCTAAGCATGCACACAGGCCTGTGCACATGTGTAAGTCTTCTAGAGTCCTAGGAATATGCCAATGCTTTTCAAAATATCTATGGATATCTCATCTTCAGTTTTTCCTTTAAAGGAGGCTCATACACACTGGATGGCTCCGAGTATGGTCAAATATAGACAAGTCTTTTGAGTGGAGTCTTGAAAGAGGACAAGTTCTGTCCTACTTCCTCCAGTACTGGAACTATAGGCTGATATTTTTCAAGATTCTCATTGAGCTGAGTGTAGGGATAAGAACATAGTAAGTTAAAATGCCACAAACCTACTATTCTTTATCAAGGTTCAGACATTTTTCTTCAATAAATGCTAACTACAAAGGCTACTAGACTTTGGTTTATTTCCAGAGTTTTGGAAAAGTTTTCTATAAAGTTTTGCCAAAACTCTGTTGCTTTTATCACAGGGCAAAATTTTTCATGCTACCATTTTTTTCTGCTATAATTTTTCTCTGCCATTTTTTGGCTGTAACTTCTCATCTTTTTAAAAAAATTCCAGCCAGTTCTCTCCCCATGGCTTTTTGCTCCTATTGACAGTTAAGTATTAGTAGTATGTACATTATTTAAATGTCTCTAAATGAATATAAAAATAACATCTATACTTTATATTGGTATGAGGTATAAATGTCTTTAAAAACATACATGGTACCTATCTTCACAGAACTTACTCTCAAATATAACTGGAACCTTGTTACTATTTCACAGTGTTACTAAGACCCAAAGAATGTATTTCTAACATCTATCTCTTTCTTTCATTTCAGGGAATATTGTCACCCTGCTTATTTAACTTATATGCAAAGTACATCATGTGACATGCTGGGCTGGATGTAGCACAAGCTGGAATCAAGATTGCCGCGAGAAATGTCAAAAATCTCAGATATGCAAATGATACCACTCTAACGGCAAAAATCGAAGAACTAAACAGACTGGATGAACGTGAAAGAGGAGTGAAAAGCCAACTTAAAACTCAAGATTCAAAAAACTTAAGATAATGGCATCCGTTCCCATCACTTTATGGCAAATAAATAGGGAAACAATGGAAACAGTGACAACCTTTATTTTCTTGGGCTCCAAAATCACTGCAGATGGTGACTGAAGCCATGAAATTAAAAGACGCTTGCTCCTTGGAAGAAAAGCTATGACCAACCTAGACAGCATATTAAAAAGCAGAGACATTACTTTGCCAACAAAGGTCCATCTAGTCAAGGCTGTGTGGTTTTTCCAGTAGTCGTGTATGGATGTAAGAGTTGGACCATAAAGAAGGTTGAGTGCTGAAGAATTGATGCTTTTGAACTGTGGTGTTGGAGAAGACTCTTGAGAGTTCCTGACTGCAAGGAGATCAAACCAGTCAATCCTAAAGAAAATCAACTCAGAATATTCATGGGAAGAACTCATGGTGAAGCTGAAACTCCAATACTTTGGCCACCCGATGTAAAGAGCTGACTCATTAGAAAAGATCCTGATGCTGGGAAAGATGGTTGGATGGCATCACCAATTCAATGGACATGAGTTTCAGCAAGCTCTGGCAGATGGTGAAGGACAGAGAAGCCTGGTGTGCTGCAGTCCATGGGGTCCCATGGGGACACAAAGAGTCAGACACAACTGAGTGACTGAACAACAATAGCAAATCTCTTTCTCTGTGAGATTACCTTTGCCTTGTGTTTTTGTTTTTAAAAGGATTTTATGAGTTCAACAGCTTACTCATTCTCAATTGAGAAATTTTTTGGCCCAAATATTTGCAGTGGTTTATGACTTGCCCTCAGCCCCAAACTCTAGTTGGATCTTCCATATATATCTATGGAAACACAAAATACTCTTTAGACAGAAGAGTTTCAAGGCTTTCATCTAGGGTAGCTCTACTGGTATAAGAAAGTGTTATTTTCTATTGTTAATTCCATCTACTCTTAGAACAGATGGAAGAACATGAAAAAATAACCACCTCAAGTATATAGCTAACAGATCTCTTCTTGTCTAATTGATGAATTCAGTACCTTACTTATAGGGACAATATTTCTCATGATACAATGTACCATTCCTGAGTCACTTTCTCTTCCCACTACTGTCCCATTTTTCTCAACGTTAATGTCTCCAGAGGGAAGAGTTAGGGATGTAAATGAATAGAAGTACACAGGAGACCTCAAAAATACTGGAACACTTGATCAGATTTCTACTGGTACATTTCTGTCTTCTGAATTAGGAGGCTGGCTGAAAGTGAGACTGAGATCAAAGATTTTCCTAACTACAATCAATTAAGTGAGCTTATTTTATTTCTGGTAGCCATTAAGTGTCTTTTTAAAATCATAGCCATGCAGGTAGTGAAAAATTCTTTCTGGATCTTGGTTATAGGCTTAACAATCAATCCTAACATTGGCATCATGGTGGGAAGTCAGAAGCAGCAGTAACAGGGGTTTTTACCTCAGTTACTGTTAGATACTAGTTTGGTTTTCTTAAAATCAAATCTGTGTAACACCCGGGACAACTACTTTCCTTTTAATTTCTACACACTTAACGATATGTACTGACTAATCATGAACAATTCATATTTAAACTGAATCAAATCATCTCCTATGGACCAATCAATATGTTATCCCAACAATCAAAACCCCACATCCTACCAACTCAGTATACGTATCTTGTAATTTTCCACAGAAAATGTTTATTGAGCTCCTCCATGGGGTGCTATTCACTTTCTAAATCTACAGTTCTCTTGTGGTGATCTCATACAGGTGCTGTGGGATATTTTAAAATTCTAGGGAAACAGTGATACTTAATATCTGGTGTACACTACAAATAACCAAATCCCATGGACAGAGGAGCCTGGCAGGCTACAGTCCATAGGGTCACAAGTGACTCAGCACACACAGCAAATACACTACAAAAACTAGCACCTAAATGTTTCAACATTAGATACTGCTACATTCCTTTCAACGCTGTTGTATCTTTGCAGAGTTGGGTTTTTGACTGTTTCTGTAACAAAAATAGTAAACAAGAGTGGTTGTGTCCCATTTTATCTCATGGTTTGAGAAAGCTTACAGTGCCCAATAGCTGCACATCTCATCAGTAAGTAATTATGGTATTTATGAACATAGTAAAATATTTTCTTTCAAACACAAAACCAAAAGAAACCCTAATATTTTTGCTTATTAAATTGCTAGATCAAAACAGTATTTTTATGTCTAATAACACAATAGCTTAGTATTTGAAAAAAATACTTCTTGTAATTCTATGCTCCTAATGACCCATATCCACATGATGATGGGGAAAAAGATCACCCAACCAAAAACTAAGGTCACTGTGAACAGAGAAAACTTGGAAACCTTTGTCCTAGATGGAATCCACTAACCAAAACATGTAACTGTTTACACAATTTTCTTGAAATATTTATTAAATGTTTGAGTGTACACAATATATCTGACCAGCTAACTCACCTATCTGAACCAGAGACTGATCAAAAATAGTTCCATATTTCACTTAAAAACCAAATAGCAATGAGCTTTCATATGTCATACCTGAGTGTGAGCTCTCAATGGTAGTGTCTGATTTGGAATCCACAGACGAAGGAATCTGTGTTAATTGTGGAACATAGTACATCTTCGAACTACCAGAAGGCTTATATGGCAATAGTAAAGGCTGGCCTAAGGAGATAAAGATCAGAATAATTATTAAGAAAACATTTATTAACTAACTGAATAAATATTAAGTACCCTTCAAGATTCCTGGGACATATTCATGAACTAGCATTCTAAAGGAGATAAACAGCAAACAATTAGCACACTAAATAAGTAAACCATCTAGTATTTTCATAAATTTGTGATATAAAAAATTAGAAAATGCTGAGGAAGATAGGAAGTACTGCAGAAATTGCAGCAGCATGAGGTTTAAATAGAGTGGTTTTAGCATCTATTCCAATATATAGCAATCTATTCAAATGTATTTCTCTAAGAAATACTTTACCTTACACTGAATCCAAACCTGGTCACTCTTAACCCCTACAACTGAACTTTGGAGGTTCTGCCGCTAGAGTCATAGAAAATAAATCTATTATATGTGGCAGATTTTCAAAATAAGTTTTCTATTATAAAAGTATAAATTCTCAATATTAAAAAAAATACAAAAGTAAGAAACAAAAAGTTCTACTATCAAAAGATAGTTATTATTAACATTTTAATGTATTTCCTACATGTCTTTCCTCTGTATTTGTTTACATAGTTGTATACAGTATATATAACTTGGACTTCAGTTTTTCCATTTTACATTAATACAATTTTCATTTTATTTCACAGCTTCACATTTTAAAAAAATCACTATACTACAAATTAAGTGTATTTAACCCTTCTCCTAATGTTAAAAATTAGGGGTGAACTACATTTTCAATAATTGAGAATTCTGTGAAAAAAGACTTCCTGTTTATAGCATACCTATTTTCCCCTGCTGTACCATATCACATAGATTTTATGATTTCAGAGTTAAAAATTATGTCATTTATGAAGTTGTTTTATTATCAACTGTTCAAATTCTTTCTAAAATGTCTGTGACAGTATAATAATTTGATTATTATAGAGGATGAAGTCTTTTTCTATATACTTTTCTTTCATGATGTGGTAGAAACAGTCTATAACAGCATCTTTTTAAAAATTAATCAATTAATTAGTGGCTATGCTGGGTCTTTGTTGCTACTCGCAGGCTTTCTCTAGTTGCAATGAATGGAGGCTACTTTTTCACCGTGGTGCACGAGCTCTAGGCACCTGGCCTCACTAGTTGCGGCTCATGGGCTTAGATGCCCTGAGACATGTGGGGTCTTCCCAGATTGGGGATCAGACCCATGTCCCCTGTATCAGCAGGTAAACTCTCAACCGCTGGAGAACCACAGAAGTCCTCTACAACAGCATGTATATGTGGTCATTCACATCCAACTCTTTGTAACCCCACTGACTGTAGCCCATCAAGTTCCTATGTACATGGGACTGTCCAGGCAAGCATACTGGAGTGGGTTGCCACTTCCTTCCCCCAAGATCTTCCTGATCTAGGGACTGAACCCACACCCCCCACTCCCCCCACCATCTCCTGCATTGTAGGCAAATTCTTTACCACTGCAACGCCTGGGAAGTCCCCTCTGTAACAGGATCTTAATATTAGGCTGGGTACATACTGTCCATCTGTACATTATATTTCCCAATCTCCCCTGCAGCCATGTATGGACATATGACTAAGTCTGGGCCCATAAGTCAAGAGTGAGAATAATATGGCAACTTCTCAGTTCAGTTCAGCTGCTCAGTCGGGTCCGACTCTTTGTGACCCCATGAATCGCAGCACGCCAGGCCTCCCTGTCCATCACAAAGTCCAGAGTTTACTCAAACTCATGTCCATCGAATTGGTGATGCCATCCCGCCACCTCATCCTCTGTTGTTGCCTTCTCCTCCTGCCCCTAATCCCTCCCAGCATCAGGGTCTTTTCCAATGAGTCAACTCTTCACATGAGGCGGCCAAAGCACTGGAGTTTCAGTTTCAGCGTCAAATGTTCCAAAGAACACCCAGGACTGATCTCCTTTAGCATGGACTGGTTGGATCTCCTTGCAGTCCAAGGGACTCTCAAGAGTCTTCTCCAACACCACAGTTCAAAAGCATCAATTTTTTGGCGCTCAGCTTTCTTCACAGTCCAACTCTCACATCCATACATGACCACTGGAAAAACCATAGCCTTGACTTGACGGACCTTTGTTGGCAATGTAATATCTCTGCTTTTTAATATGCTATCTAGGTTGGTCATAACTTTCCTTTCAAGGAGTAAACATCTTATAATTTCATGGCTGCAATCACCATCTGCAGTGATTTTGGAGCCCAAAATCTATTTCCCCATCTATTTGCCATGAAGTGATGGGACCAGATGCCATGATCTTAGTTTTCTGAATGTTGAGTTTTAAGCCAACTTTTCACTCTCATCAAGAGACTTTCATCAAGAGGCTCTTTAGTTCTTCTTCGCTTTCTGCCATAAGGGTGGTGTCATCTGCATATCTGAGGTTATTGATATTTCTCCCGGCAATCTCGATTCCAGCTTGTGCTTCTTCCAGCCCAGTGTTTCTCATCATGTACTCTGCATATAAGTTAAATAAGCAGGGTGACAATATACAGCCTTCACGGACTCCTTTGCCTATTTGGAACCAGTCTGTTGTTCCATGTCCCGTTCTAACTGTTGCTTCCTGACCTGCATATAGGTTTTCAAGAGGCAGGTCAGGTGGTCTGGTATGCCTAGGCATCCCATTAAAACACTCCATCAGCTATTGCTAAAATTTATCCTCTTCATTACTCTTCTTTTTCAGAATTTTCTTTGTTATTCTCCATTATAAAATTTAAGATCAATTAAACAAGTACAAAACAACAATTTTGCTAGAATTTGAGTACAATTATGTTAAGAGTATAAATTCATTTGGGAACAAATGACATCTTTACAATATTCAGTTTTACTATCAGAAATATTTCATCCATTCTTTTAGTCTACTGGTCATTTCTTTTCTATCCCTACACAGTGAAAGTGAACGTGAAAGTCAAAGTCACTCAGTCGTGTCCAACTCTTCGCGACTCCATGGACTATACAGTCCATGGAATTCTCCAGGCCAGAATACTGGAGTGGGTAGCCTTTCACTTCTTCAGGGGATCTTCCCAACCCAGGGATCAAACCCAGGTCTCCAGCGATGCAGGCAGATTCTTTACCAAACGAGCCACAAGGGGAGCCCAAGAATACTGGAGTGGGTAGCCTATCCCTTCTTCAGCGGATCTTCCCGACCCAGGAATCAAATCAGGGCCTCCTGCATTGCCGGTGGATTTTTTACCCACTGAACTATCAGGGAAGCCCCATCCCTACACAAAAGTCCTATAAAAATTCTTGTTCAGGTTATTTCTGAATATTTTATGTGGTTGTATCACATATCTGAACAGAATTTTGTAGACAGCTATCACCTCTGATCAAACAGACCAGCTTCTTCAGTTTATCCTTAGAGACCATGATTTTCCCTTGTATCCTGTCAGTACCTCTAGATGGACTCCTAGTTACACATGTCTAGTTTATAAAAATCACTTGATCTTAGCCAAAAGGCCAAGAAGTGATACTCAAGACAGAGTCTGATAGCCCCAGGAATGAGAACTCCCTCACTCTGGACACAACAACTTTTATACTACTTGGAATTACCACTCCATCATTCTGATGATTTGATATGAAATCCCTATTACTAGTACCCTGCTTCCAACCAAGGAACTGATTTCAGAGTGAAGGAAAGGAGACAAAAGGCTGACACTAAAGGAATTCACTGTTCTCATCACAAGTCTGATCACCCACAACTATGGTAAACTAAAAAAAAAAAAGAAAAAAGTGAGTGAACAATTCACTGAAAACTGTTGTGGCACAAGCTGGTGGGTATCACTTTCTGAGGCTGGAATGCTAGCTTACAGAATATGGCACATGCTCAGAACCATATATGGTTCTGATACTTCTATCCCACAGACAGAATGCATGTAGTCAGGAAAAAAGGTCGGCGCCTTTAAAAGCTTTTTCTTTCCATCTCTGTGACTGCTTTGTTAGATGGAAGATCTTAGAAATAAGGGAGGGGCAATTCTATCAAGAGACAGGAGCCATCTAGTCATTTTACATTCTTTACATCACTGAAACAGTGCAGGCAATAGGGGGTCACAATGTTGACTAAACCATGACTGACCTTAACTATCAAGGAGAAATAAGGTTACCTTAAAAAAAAAGACAGTCAAAAGGAGTCTGGCTAATAACAAGGGGACCACTTTACCAAACTTGGTCATAGAAATTAACAAAAAACTATTTTAAACTTAGATGTGTAGGGCTAGTGCAGTCTTTGCCTACTTAAAAATACTTGTACCACTGCAGCAAATAAAAACCCAGCTAATGAGAACCTGGCTGAATTCAAGGGGAACAAAGAGATGTATAGAGGATGGAAGAATTTAAATAATAGAAAAAAACAGGCTATAGCCTTCCCTTCTATTTGGACATGCTGGAGTCATCATTGTTAGAATATTGATTTATTAGTTTTCTTCTTCTGTTGGTGTATGTAAATTTTGCTCAAAGTTTGCAGAAAATGGACAGTAACATTTGGGCAGAATTAGAGTGGACTGAGAGCAAGAATGGTTTTCATGTGAAGGTGGAGCATTCTGAGAGAGACACCTGAGCTTTTGAATTGTCAACAAGTTTACATGTATGGATGCAGAAGTATTAAAGTGTGAACTGCCTATCTATGGGGGAAGAAGACACTATACAGCAAATAATAATTGTTCCTGGAAGAGAAAAAAAGGACTGGAGAATGGTAAAGAAGAAAGTTCAACCATAAAATCTGCTTCTTCAAAAAACCTGAAAATGGAACTAAATGTAGACATAACAGCATATTACCCTTAATTTAATTCAGAGCAGTAGACACCCAATCATAAATTTAACTTATTATTCTGTATATTTTAAAATATTTTTGAGAATTTTATGTTTAAACCACAGTTAATCTTTTATTGGTAAACCTTTTAAAGTAGTCTTTTCTCCAAGTATCTGTATGTAAAGGTAAAACTATATAAACTGTGGCCTCTATACAGACTGATCCATATGATGTCAGAAGAGGTATAAAATACACTTTCATAGTTGCATTTCCTCTCTTGTGCTTCTGCCACCAACATAAGAACACAGAGCCAAGAGTAGGCTGGCTTTCAGAACAAGGCATGTAGAACAGACCCAAAGCATTTTTGCATCCTGATGCCAAACTTCAATTGACTAGTAAGCCCATGAGTGAGAAGAGCAAATGTTTGCTGTAAAGCTCTGAGATTTTTGAGGTTCTTACATGGTATAATGATGGCAATAGGGAACTAACACATTAAAGATTTATTAGACTATACATTTTGGGGGTTTATTTTTATATTACAATAAAAATGTATGAGAAATATAACTGTCTCAACATATAAACATATTTATTCAAATTAAATTCAGTGCAATTTAAATTCAGAACGAAGCAATTTTCTTTATACATTTAAAGTATATCTCCCCAAAAAAGCATAAAGAAATAGAGCAAAAAAAAAAAATATATCCCATCTTTACCTACAGACACATAAACTTTTTGCATTAGCAGGAAAACTTAAAATTTATTTTGAATAGATTTGTATAAGTTACTGGATACTTTAAAATTAGTAATTTAAAGCTTCCACTTTTATTTAGACAAAGAATGGGAACTTAATTTTCCAGTTACTGGTCTGAAAAAGAAAATAGCTTGCTATAGTTCTGAATGTTACATAGTATAAGCAGTATCAAAATACCACTGTCAAGACAGCATACAAACACCCTAAATGTAGACCGTATGGTAGAGACTGCTAGCTGTTCACCAAATCGCATTTCTTCTTCATCGTGGAAAGCACAGGTAAACTAGCCCTAGTCAGTGGAAAGTGATCTGGGCCACTCCCAGGCCCAGCCCATAAGGGCCTCCCACATGTGCACCTCCATGGTTTTCATCCCTTGCAGACGACTCTGACGGTGAATCCAAGGCTCCACATTTTAAAGACAGCAGGGTCATAGCCAACCTGGGTCCCTGGTCAATGTTTCACAGCAAGAAATAGACTGGTATTGGGTTTGCAAAATCTGTTTAATATATTATTCAAAATGATAGTTAAAAAAAAAAAGTCAAATCAGTCACCTGCCTCTCTTAAATTGAACCTCTACAGTTTTTCAGTTTTCATGAACTACTTGCACTCTTATGACAAGTTATTATGAGATGAAAATATGTTAACCACAAGTAGCATGCATTTCACATAGGTTAACTCCAATAGAATAGAAATAAAAACATAATAAACTATATTCTCCTCGTAGCTATGAAAAACAAACAATATAATCATGTACAGCCTAGTGATTAAAATTAAAGTCAGATTTTCTAACCAGAAAGACTCAATCAAGAAATTTCTTAATTACACACAAAAGTTGTTAATATGACCTAAAACGCAATCATATTCTCTTACCATCTGTACCATGAGTAATCTGCTGAACTGAAGATGATGAAGCAAACTTGACAGGAACATTGCCAGACTTCTGTATATTGAGCTCTGGAATTTCATGTCCATGATCTTCAGCATTGACAAAAATTTCAGATGAAAATGTGGCTTTACCTGGACTTTCTGTTGTTATCTGAGTGACTGCATCGGATGATAATTTTCCAGAGAAGGGAGCAGACAGCATCTTAATCTCCTCTGGTGATCTGAAAAAAAAGAAAGGACACAGCAAGTCACATCCTTGGCTTAACACAAATTGTTATTTCTTTCCAAACATCACTGCAATATTTTGTGGAGACACATCAGACTCCAACGGTTAAGTTAATTCTGCAGTACCCTTTGCTTTTTTAGATACTTATTACAATGTGATCAAATTTATTTTAAAACTGACTTTTATTTTCAATTCACAGTTCTATTTAATAACGACAAAGTCCTTTTCAGTTGAAGTGAAAATATATCCATTCAAAAATAAAATTACTGGAAGTACACTATAAATTAGGAGAGTATGCTAAACATATAGAGTGTACAAAAACAAACAAGAAATAAAAATCTTTCCTTAAAAAATTTACATATCAGTGGAGGAACTAGAGGTTTTTAAGGTTTCAATTATGTATAAAGATTATAAAGAATACATATTAAGACATAAAAAATAAATGACTGTATAAACAAGTAAATAATAGAAGGGAGAAGACAAATCATGCCAATAGAAGAACCCCATATGTAGGTAAGCCCCTCTTGCCATTAACCTCCTCCCCAAGGAGGTGAAGCTTAATCTTCTCCTTAAGTCCAGTCCTGAGTTCACTGAGTTCCAAAGAAGAGAGCAAAAATGGGAGAAAAAGTAACTTTACAGTGGAGAAACCTGGCAAACACCATGTTATCCAAGTGATGATGGTTCACATCACCGGTTGATATCACGTGGACATTACATATTCTCTGTTATGCTGTGGTGAGAATTCACCTATGGTATTCTTTGCCACATCCCAGAACTCCAGTCCAATCATGAGAAAAACATCAGCCAAATTCAGATTGAGAAAAACTTCACAAAATGTCAGACCAATATTCCTCAAGACTGTCAAAATCATGAAAAACATGGAAGGAATGAGGAACTGTCATAGACCAGAGAAGACTAAGGAGACATGAGGACTAACTAAATACAATGGGATACACTGGATTGGGTCCAGTATATTAGGAACAGGAAAAGGTCATCAATGGGGAACACTGGTGAAATCTAAAAAGAGTCTGAAGTTTAGTTAACAGTAATATATAAATGTTGGCTTTTTAATTTTTAAAAACATACTATGGTAAAGGGGTTAACAGTAGGAAAAACTAGAAGAGGAGTTAACTGTTATGTTTGCATCTTCTCTACAAATATTAAATTATTTGAAAATAAAAAATATTTACTTTTAAAAAATGGAGTAATACTGGATATCCCTGGTGGGCCAGTGGTTAAGAATCCCCCTGCCACTTCAGGGGACATGTGTTCAATCCTTGAACTGGGAGGAATCCGCAGAGTGGGGTGACTGGGCCCATGCCACAGGTATTGAGCCTGTACTCTGGAGCCCGCAAGCCACAACTAGTGAGCCCACAAAAGAAGTCACTGCAATGACAAGCCCAAGCACCAAATGAGAGAAAGGCCCCACACAGAAACAGAGACCCAGCACAGCAAACAAAAAAAAAGAGTAATGCTGTATTGCATCATACTGATGTAACGGCTGTATCACCAAACCAGGAGAGCTTTTAACTCTCTACCCTTTGTCTACCAGCCACTAATTAAAAGGACAATTATGAGAAATGAAGTAGGCCCATCTCCCTTGTGTATATAGAAGCAAAAATCAAAATGTTAGATGATCAAATGTACAGTGAGTGAATGAATGTCTGTGCGTGTGTGAATGAATTTCTAACAAGCTGGTTTACTCCAGAAGTGCAAGGTAAGTTAACATTCAAATATCAACGAATATGATTCACCACATCAAAAGGAAAAAATTTGCATGATCATATCAACATAGTCAGATAAAACATTTGATGAAATTCAATAATTACGTATGATTAAAAACTTGTAGCAAAGGGAAATTACAAAAAAATTTAGAGCCACGATCCTATTTATAGTGAAATGTGAAGAATGTCCACTGTAGCATTAGGAACAAAATAAGGATGCCAACTCTTACCTTCACTATTCAGTATGTTAGTAAAAGTCTTAAATGGCGTTAGCAGTAAGGCAGGAAAAAGAAATCAGAGATATAAGGATAAGAAAGGAAGAAATAATACTGTCACTTTTCACATTTGATATAATTAGGGATACAGAAAATCAAAACAATCTATAGATAACTTATAAAATATGTTACGTTTTCAGAAGAGTTACTAGATAAGAGAACAAACTTTTAAAAATTCCCCTATATTCTTTGGTATCTGAAAAGTTATACAATTAAAAACGAAAAGATATGCAATGTACATTATCATCAAATACCTAAGTATAAAAAAGATATAAGAACACTAAACAGAAAACTATTGATAAATCACAGAGAGAAATTAAAGGATTTCCACTTCCATTTATGACATAGGTACACCTCATTCTATTGCACTTAACTTTATTGTACCTTGCAGATATTGCCTTTTTTAAAAAACAAATTGAAGTTTAGTTAGTAGTAATAGTAATATATAGTTAATAAAAATATGTAAATGTTGGCTTTTTAATTTTTAAAAATATACTATGGTAAAGAGGTTAACAATAGGAAAAACTGTGGCAATCTTGTGTCAAGTAAGTCTCCTGGTGCCATTGTCCCAACAGCATTTGCTTACTTTCTGGCTCTATGTCATAATTTGGTAATTCTCACAATATTTCAAACATTTTAATTATTATACTTGCTACATGATCCATGATCAGTGATCTTTGATGTTACTATTGCATAAAGATTACAAAGGTTCAGATGATGGTTAGCATTTTTAAGGTCTACTTGTAATTAACATATGTACATTATTTATACATAATGCTATTGTACACTTAGTAGACTACAGTATAGAGTAAACAAAACTTTTACATGCACTGGGAAATGAAAAAATTCACATGACTTGCTTTACTAACATATTCTCTTTATTGTAATGGTCTGGGCCCAAACCCGTATCTCTATAATATGTCTGCACTAGGTGGCCACAGAAAATCACTCCTGTTGCAACAAGTAAACAAAATTGAATAAATTATATAAACATTATAGTTTAAAAATATCATAGAGCTACAGAAGCAATCAAGAAACAACATCAACTAATATGCTAGAAGGGACATTTAGAGAGTTAAGGCGGGGGAAGGTTTTGGTGTAGGAAGACATACTCCTCTGGAAAGAGAAACGACCAGAGCTTTTGCTGAACTCATTTGCTGGCACAATGGAGTGAAATCTAGCAGAAAAGAAAGTCAAGCTGATAGGGGACTGAGTCAAGAAAGCAGAGTGAAATTTCCTGCACAGTCATAGAACTAATGAAATAGAAATCCCACTAGATAAAGGGGCTTGTGACAAACATTAGGCCTCCTCCACAAGACATTTGCCAGTTTTTGAATCTACATAGGACAGGAAGCTAAACAACTAATACTTGAGAGAAAGACATTTCAGAAGTGACAAATCCAAGACCAGGAGATGACTGTGGCTCAGATCATGAGCTCCTTTTACAAAATTCAGACTTAAACAGAAGGAGGGAAAACCATTAGGCCATTCATGTATAATCTAAATCAAATCCCTATGATTATACAGTGGAAGTGACAAATAGATTCAAGGGATTAGATCTGATAGACAGAATGCCTGAGGAACTATAATGGAGGTTCATAACATTGTATGTAGGTGACGACCAAAACCATCCCCAAGAAACGAAACGCAACAAGGCAAAATGGTTGTCTGAGGAGGCCTTACAAGTAGCTGAGAAATGAAGGGAAGAGAAAGTCAAAGGAGAAAGGGAAAGATATACTCATCTGAATGCAGAGTTCCAAAGAATAGCAAGGAGAGATAAGAAAGCCTTCTTTAGTGAACAATGCAAAGAAATAGAGGGAAAAAACAGAATGGGAAAGACTAGAGACCTCCTTCAAGAAAATGAGAGATACCAAAGGAACATTCCATGCAAAGATGGGCAGAATTAAGGACAGAAACAGTATGGACCTAACAGAAGCATAAGATATTAAGAAGAGGTGGCAAGAATACACAGAACTGTTAAAAAAAAAAAAAGGTCTTAATGACCTGGATAACCACGATGGTGTGGTCATGCACCTAGAGTCAGACATCCTACAGTTTGAAGTCAACTGGGCCTTAGAAAGCATTACTATGAACAAAGTTAGTGGAGGTGATAGAATTCCAGGTAAGCTATTTCAAATCTGGAAAGACAATATTGTTAAAGTACTGCACTCAATATGCCACTAAATTTGGAAAGCTCAGCCTAAATTATCCCAGAGTAAGTAAAGAGGCTTTAACCCAATTAGTAAGAAATTAAAATTAAAATTAATTGGTTGGCACCGACAAATTGGATTAACAGCATATGTATACACAAGCAACAAATAACTAAAAAATAGAAAATCTAAAATACCATATACAAAATTATCATAAACTAAAATACTGAGGAATAAACTGAATGAAAAATGTGAAAGTCTACGCAATGCAAATTACATCTTACTCAGGGATATCAAGTAAGTGGCGGGGAGGGAGGAAGGGGAGAACATGTTCAGGCTTGAGGGGGACTCCAGTATTACTAAGATGTCAATCATTTTCAAAATGACTATAGATTCGATGCAATATTGAACAAAATCCCAGGAGGATTTTTGAAGAAACTGAGAAGACTATTCTAAAATTTATATAGAAATGCACAGAACCTAAAATAGAAAAAAATAATGTTGAAAATAAAATAAGGTTAGAGGACATAATCTGATTTCAAGACAATATAAAGCTACAATAATAAAAACATCATGGTATTGTTGCAAAGATAGATAAATAATTCCAAGGAACAGAGCAGAAACTTAAAAATAAACCCCCATATAAAAGGTCAATTGATTTTTGACAAAGGTGCCAACTAATTCAATAAGGAAATAAATAACTATTTCAATGATGATGCTGAAATATCCAGTAAAAGAAAATGGTCCTGAATTATGTAAACTACAGTATGTACAGAAATTAATTTGATACACATGAAAGACATAAAAAATAAAGCTAAAACTATTTTCATTTCTAGAAGAAAATGT